GAGCAGCTGTTTTTGATAGCAAACTTCCCGGTAAAAAATGAGCGTATTCATTTATAAAGCGCCACAAAGGTGAACTTACTCACCGAGCAACACAAAACATTAAAAGAAGCAGAGCTGAGAAAAATCCTGAAGAGATGGCTAGCTATTTCAATAATCTACAACAATCATTAGAGGGCATACCTAACCGTGCGTTTGCACTGACGCGATTTTCACAAAAAAACATGTTTTAAACACTGTTTTCTGTCAATGTATCAAAAAGCGTTTGCATAGCCAAGGAACATGTTTTAGTGAAATGTGTTTGACAATTTATTGTACATTACATATTATAACTATATTATATCTATATCTCTGCAGAAACAAAATGTTTGAAAACAAATTTGTAGAAATATTGTTATGTTGAAAGATAAGTTTGACGTTTTGTATTTGTAGACACTTTTTAATTGAGACAGAGAATTTTCAACAATAATGGGTTCAAGTGATGAAGAGGTGAATAATGGATTCAAGTCATGAGTGTACTGTACATTTACAACAAAAAAGAAAGAAATCGAGGTTCTGGACGCGCTTGCAATGTGTTTGACAGTGATTCGCAGTGGAATACGGGACAGAGACTAAAAACTGTGCTGCATGACGAATAAAGAAAATTAAAGAAAGTGATACATAAGAAAATTCTACCAATTGCATGATCACATTAAAACCTTAAAAGCCAAAATTGTATTAAGTGTTTAACTAATGAAAATACAGTAAGTAAATTATCCAAGAAAATAACATCAACATTTGCGCTGTAATTACAAGTTCAAATAAGAAATTGAAAGAAAAAGCTACATGACAAATGAAAATCATAGCCTTGTGGCTTTATAAAAGGTCACCCACCTGTTGCAGGCTACTCAGGCTCTATTAAAGGGTTAACTGAGTACTCTTTACTATTGAAATCAATCAACTAGTTTTTAAGGCCTGGCAGATTTTTTAAATACTATAAAACCATCAGACAATCAATTTATATTGATATTTGATGAAATGTCTTTAAAAAAATGTGGTGTATAATCCAAAAGAAGATTTGATTGAAGTGTATTAGGATCATAGTACACAAGGAACATCTTCAGTCATTGCATCATATGCATTAGTATTTATGATTGTTAGTATTAGGAAGACTGAAAGAGCCCATTGCCCACTATTTCTCCAATGCATTTTTAACTGCAAATCAACTTACTGTACTAATAAAAGAGGTAATTATTAGTACTTTGTATGATTTTTCATTTCATTACAACAGTTGAAATTAAAGTTGATTATAAAAGCTCAACAGTTGTAAAACATATTTAATTTTTGATTTCAGGTCTTGAATCAGTTATAGCTGGCATAACTTCCAGGCTCAGGCGGGGGGGGGGGGGGGGGGGGGGGTGGGATGAATATTTTCTGTTTTTGTGATTTTTTCCAAGTACCTAAAATCTGCTAGAGTCTGTGACATGGATGGAGTAAATTTACAAGTTCTCTCTATCTTGGGTGCAAATGTGAAACAACCATATTTTGCATTCCATAACAAAGAGATAGTGACCCTTTGATACGCCATATTTATTACATAAGGGATCTTGCAATGGGGTTAATGCATTTCACATTGAAATAACTTTGTTTTGCAGAAGAGAGCCATGAGAGCACTTTACAACCTAAGTCCAAAGGAGTCTTTTCAAGAAAGTTTTTTAGAAGTAAATATATCAACTATAGCGTTTTAGTAATTTTACGAAAATTTAATGTATGTTTTTTATTAATTTTTGTTTTTTTTTGTTTTTATAACAGAAAAACACGATTTAAAACAAATCGCGAAATATAAAAAAACAACAGTGCGAACGCTAACGTTGACAAATCTATAGATAAACAAGTAGAATGTTTATGTTGTATTCAATGCGAACACAGCTAAAAACAAATCTTGATATCTGTTGAAAATTTTACACAGTTTTTGTGAGTGCGAATGCCACCATCAACAAAACATGTTGTGTGATTTATTTCATGCGATTTGTTTCAAAACATTACGTGTTGGATGTTTCTCAGTGCAAACGTACTGTTAGGAAAACATATTACGATGAAACAAACCTAACAGACAATATGCTTGTTCCGCAGAGGGGTTAAATACCCTGAAAAAGTTATGAACTATACAAAAGGTGCGATTTCGACCAAGTTCGCAATTACAGCGGGAGGAGAATGCCTACCGCCTTATGTTGTTTATAAAGCAGGACACATGTGCCAACAATGGAGAGTAAATGGGCCAAAAGGAGCAAGATTTAATCGGTCTAGATCCGGTTTAACAGTTGGTTTGAGGTGATCTTTTTTCCTTGGGCTAAGGACAAATTGGAACTGATCGGTGATAATTTAGAGTCGCATATTAACCACCGTATTGTTACATTGTGTGAATCAAATGACATAAGGTTTGTATTTTTACCGCCGAATTCATCACATTTGACTCAGCCATTAGATGTTTGCTATTTTGGCCCCCTGAAAAAAATATGGCGAGCAAAACTCCTGACCTATAAAATAAAAAATCCACGAGAAGCCACTATTAGTCAACATCACATTTACACTACAAGTCACACTTTCCCGAATCGCTCAAATAGTTAATGTACGAACTTAATGAAAAGACATCGAATATTCTAAGCGCATTTAAAAGTACCGGTATTCATCCATTCAACCCCGACATAGTTATTTGCAAACTGCCTGGCTCCAAACCACCTTCAGAGTACAACATTGATAATGTGCTTCTGCAATTTCTGAAAGAGAATGCAACAATAATGCCCAAACTTCGCCTGTCGCAGTTGCGTCGTTTTCCAGTCATTTGTAGTATGTGTTATTAAGTATTGATGGTCTTTAGTTGTAGTCCTAAATAAATGGCCACGGCCACGGCCACTAAGGGGCCACCCAAAGTCCTGTTCTTCTCAGAACAGGGACCTCTAATTCTTAGTTTAAAATCGTCGCCCCCTCCCCCCTGTCCACCATGGACCTTAGCCAATTTTTAGCCCTTCTCTCCCAGTATTTCAAAGTTGACGAGAAAGCTCTCGCCAACGCTCGCTCACCCCCCTTGCCCCTAAGGCATGTGTCCCCCCGCCCTCCGCCGCGGCGTCTCTCAACTCCGACATGGCGTGCTCGGACACTACGTCCGTTACCTCATCCTCTCGTAAGAGGACCGCCCATAGTTCTACCGGCTCCGGCTCCTCGGAGTCGTCAGACTCCGAAGGAACGGTCACCGATTCGGCCTTCTTCACCTTAGTTAATCCAAGCGCGCCGCGACTTCCCGCTCACCCCCCCGCCCCGGCAGCCCCTGCCGCCGCCAGCGTCTCTGCAGCACACGCCGCTGCCTCCACCTCCGCAGCCCCCGTCGCTGCCTCTACCTACGCAGCCCCCGCCGCTGCTCCCACCTCTGCAGCCCCTAACGCTGCCTCCTCTCAGTCGCAAGACTCTCTTTCCAAGCCAACCAGCAACCCGCTGCGCTCCCAAGCTAGCCAAAAGTCAAGTCCTGCCCTCTGTCTTCCTCAGAGACAAAGCGTAGTTTACTAAATTGTCCAAAACCCTGTACGAAAAGGGATACAAATATGACCAAGCCACCAATGTCGTCGAGGACATAAAAATCATGCCGGCGTCTTTAGAAGACTTCCGAAACATCACCCGTTACTTCACGGCCCAGCGTGTGTCCTATCACACGTACGCTCTCGCCGAAGAAAAGAAAGTTAAGGCAGTCCTCCGCGGTGTTCCCTATGAACTCGCAAACGAGGACATATTAGATGACCTCAAGTCCCAGTGTTTCCCTGTCGAGGCTGTGCACAAGATGCACAGCAGCAGGGGCGAGAGGTTTAACCTCGCCCTCCTCGTATTCACCAACGTGCCGGAGACAAAGGCCACTTTCCGCCAACTACGCAGTGTGCGGCCTGTCGCGTGTAAAGGTTGAAACTCCACACAGGCGCGGTTACCCGGCGCAATGCCACCGCTGCCAACATAATGGGCACGCGGCGGCCAACTGCTCAGCCCCACCCAGGTGCGTGAAGTGCCTTGAACCCCATCACTCGAAAGAGTGCCCTCAGCCCAAAAACGCTGAATCCCCACCCGCATGTATCCTGTGCGGACAGACCGGCCACCCAGCCAACTTCAGAGGCTGCCCTCACGCGCCTCGCCCACTTTTTAGCAACAAAGCTCCTCCACAGGTCAATAACCAATCTTTCCCGGCCTTCCAAGCCGCATGTACTATCCACAACGAAGTCATAGGGGGTCGAAAATGGCCTGAATTGCTTCGAGAAAAGTATGGTATGGTCGTGCCGCTTTTTTGCTCGACTTGGCGGGGGCACTGCCGTGCCACCAGATATGGCCGAGTCTACATCAGTCAATAATTATTAAATAACTAATGTAATATTTAAACCTTTCCTACAAATTACACTCCAATGGCATTCTGGACACTGCAGATTATAATAGATATTACATATTATTACAAATTAAAAAAAATCAGTCTCCTTTCTTAAAGTAATTGTAGATACAAAATAGGTATCATAAATCGCCTGATACAATACAAGAATTAGTGAGTGGCAAACTTTATTAGGAAGTTTTAGTATCGAGTATTAACACCGCCTTGAGCTAACCCACAGCATATACACTGTTGCAATTTTACGCCGTTCGTGATGACTCCATATGATTATCATTGATTTTATTTTATATTACTCAATTTCTACAGCATTCTATATACAAAAAAAATAAATATTTAAAATATTTTTTCTTTCTAGAGACCAACACAGTCTCTTTGGAAGTATATTTACAAATCCTGGTGTCTATTTTACAAAAATAATGGAAATACACGTTTTTTATTATTACACATACTTTACTAAATCGATTTCGCCTTTGTCTCGCAAAGTTCACGATTTTATTGACTACCAACCCAAGTAACCATTAATGGAGTAAATTCTCCTCGTGCATGTTGGCAACCCAGGCTCGAGTGTTGCAAGCCCGCTATATCACGCGGTCTACAAATACCTGTGCTACGTCGGCGAAGTGCTGTAAAATCTTTTCATCGTCGAGTCAATATCGACAATCGCGTTTCTAACCTCGTGGGTTGAGGCTCCGATCGCTTCGAACGAGGTCACCAATCTTTCAACAGCACGAGCCTGGAGAAATAAAACTGTCCTGTTAACAAAGCCTTGTGAACTCTTAGAACTTAGATCAATTAGAATTGAAATGACACTTCAAAAAAAATCATAAGTTTATATAAACTGAATTATCGCCAGTGTGATGGAATACGTAATAATACTAATTATTATCTAAGAACGATATTTTTTTTACGTTACCCCCATACTAGCATTTTCTCCTGTATCATAGAGGCAGTTTACAAACATAAATTGCACAAGGACACAATCTATGCTGCTGAATCAATCAAAAACATACGAGGGTGGATTGAAAAGTACTCGGCCTAACACATATCCATTCAATTCTAAAAATCAAATCTACCCACATTATTTAGTTCAGTTCAGACTAGTTCATTGTGTGAAGTTCGAAACGTGTGCGATAATTAGTTGTGATTTTATAATTATAATATTTATAATTATATTAATTTATTAACAAAGTAATCGGACATAATTTCCGCGAATGGAGCAAATCGAGCAGCGTGCCGTCATTAAGTACCTCCATAAGAAGGGGCTACCATCAAAAGCCATCCATGATGACATGGTCAGTACATGAGGCGATTGTGCTCTGTCATATTCATCCGTCAAAAAATGGATAGCAGAATTTAAGCGTGGTAGAGAGAGTGTGAAAGATGAACCCCGCTCTGGAAGGCCTTCGACGTCAACTACTGACGAAAATATTAAAAAAGTACTTGATTTAATAATGGCAGACCGCAGATTAAAAATTAGAGAGATAGCCGAGATTATAGGCATCTCTTATGAACGAACTCAAAACATCATTGTCAAAGAGTTGGGTTTCCACAAGGTGTCTGCGAGGTGGGTTCCGGGACTGCTTTCAGTTGAACAAAAAAGGACGCGATTGACTATTTCACGCGACTGTTTGGAGGTATTTTAAGCCGATGCAGATGATTTTTTGAATCGTTTTGTTACTATGGACGAAACATGGGTTCATTACTGTACACCGGAAACAAAACAACAATCAAAACAGTGGAGAAGACCTGGTTCACCACCCCCTAAAAAAGGCTAAGTCGATTTTGTCGGCAAATAAGGTGATGGCTTCAGTATTCTGGGACTCGAAAGGTGTGATTATGATTGATTATCTTGAAAGGGGTCAGACTATAAACTCTGATTACTACTGCACCTTACTACGTCGTTTACGAGAGGAAATAAAAGAAAAACGTCGAGGAATGCTCAGAAGAAAAGTCCTGTTTCATCAAGATAACGCCCGTGTTCACACGTCAGTACAGTCAATGGCTGAAATTCACAACTGTGGCTTTGAACTGTTACCGCATCCGCCGTATTCACCTGATCTGGCACGATCAGACTTCTTTCTGTTCCCTAACCTAAAAAAGCACTTGGGAGGTCAAAGATTTTCGACAAACGACGAGGTCAAAGCAGCTGTAGACGCATATTTTGACTCTAAGGAAGAATCATTTTTTTTCAACGGTCTAAATGCTTGGAAGGGGAGGTGGCAAAAGTGTATTGAACTTGATGGTGATTATGTAGAAAAATAAAAATATAACTGATTTAGTATGTGTTTATTTTCTTGGTTAGGCCGAGTACTTTTCAATCCACCCTCGTACAGACCCGGAACAATTATTTGTAGACCATACATATACTTGTTCCATGCGGGATTAGAACCCGCATCCCTCAGCGCAGTAACTCAATGCGAAAGCACTGCGCCAAGGAATCGTTTTCTGAGGTTGAAAGATTTAAATCAATAATAGTAATTAATGGATAACCTTGAAATAGAAGACCATACCAAGAGGGAGAACTAATCGCCATTCAGAAAAAAATACAAATAAAAATAAAAGTAGTACCAAAGATTTTTTTAAATTAATATCGATATTTTTTGTTAATTTATTTTACATTCTTGCACACCACGACTACAAAATAATGAATTCCATCGGGTTTTTTTTTTAATTATTATGGTAATGTACGTTAACTGAGCTGATAAGGTAAGCAATGAATAGTATGATTGCTGTTACACGGGTTTTAGCACATATTATTCTTAAGCTATTGGTCACTCGTGTTGCGATATATTTATTTGGCTACGGTTGCTTAAACTTAGTCAAAATGAATATTTTTCACTAGAACAATAATTCAAGTTGTTTTTGAAAAGGCCGAGTAAGAGCAGTCTACCATTTATTGCTTATCTATCAGCTCAATTAACGTAAATTACTATAACAATAAAAAAACCGATGCCATTCATTAATTTGTGGTCGTGGTGTGCAAGAATGTAAAATAAGGTAACAGAAAATATCGATATTATTTTTTTTAAATATCTATGGTACTACTTGTTTTTTTATTTGTATTTTTTTCTGAATGGTTCAATCATTAGTTCTACCAAGAACTATTTCAAGGTTATTCATTTATTACCGGACACCCGACATATTGAATTTTATCTTTAAAGAGAGTAAGAATAATATTTTTTGTCTGTATTGAGCTACATTTTATATATTTTCATGGCATTATTATCCTTTTTAGTATTCATAAACACAACAGAGAAACCCTTTTTTAATCATATCTTATAAAAATATTTACGACTATTATAACTCCGTAAAATCTGAAGTAAAAAATAAAAATAAATGAAAGGTATAGAAAATGACAAACTTATATGGGGTAAAAGATAGATATCCAATATCAATCAGAGACGAATAAAACATAAATGAGAAATTGAATATGCTAGCATAGCAGGAATGCAATTTCCTCCTTATTACCTGTATTTGTGATGCTTCAGCCAGCCTTTCCATAGCTTGTGCGTTAAGGTGCGAAGCGTGGGCTAGTTGAGACATTGCATTCGCTTGATCTCCCATTACTTTAACCTGTAAGATACATCAAGATTCATAAAGTTACTAAAAAAAACATAAGAAGTATTCATATATACCTGAGAGAAAATTTCAGCATCTAAGAAATAATTTTAGAAGAAAATCTATTTATTATTTACTTATTTAAATTTATCATCTTAATATATATATATATATATATATATATATATTCCGTGTATTAGTCCAACTTAAGAGATAGGATAGTTTTTTTGCCCAGGAGTGACCCACAAATTTTTTTTGCGAATTTAAGGATTTTTAATAGGACATGACAAAGGGTCGTCGAAAAGGGCAGAACGTCTGCCTGGCAAGCTAGTTATATATAAAAATTACGTGTCACGTTGTTTGTCCGCGATTTCATAGTAAAAATTATACCATATCTTTATATAAACTCGATATAAATGTTGTTATTTTTATATATTTTTATTTTTCATATATTTCGTATTGTCTAATTGTTTTTGTTTGTTTTATATTAGTATTTTACTCATACTTGTAACAATTATTAAGTTATCGTACAGTTATCGTCTTTTTTAAACATGCTGTAACTAGCTTTAAATGGAAACATGTAAATCTTAGTTCCTAAGGCTATTGTCACACTTTTTTTAAAACAACATGTTATTCCGTTGGTGGTTCTATCAATAAAATAAAATAAAATGAACATCTAAACTACTTAACTGATTTCAATGAAATTTTGCACACTGTGTGCAGTTTGGTACAAATCGAGAGATAGAATAGTTCTTACTCAATAATTTTTTATTGCGAATTTAAGCATTTTTTTAATAAGAAGGGTCATCGGACTACATCGTTTGCCTGGCCAGCTAGTAGAATATAATATATACATATTCCATTTTTATGAAACGACGTGGTAGAGCCACGCTGCAGCTATATTACGTTTGTAGCACGAATGGGTCGGCTCTCACAGGATACCAGCGTTAATTAGCAGCTTAATACTGCAGTGTTTCGTATGGTGAGTAGAGAATCGGAGAACCCTTTTTACTGGATACGAGGCATTCCATCTTAGTCCTTAGGGGTGACAACGCATTTGCGTCTTAATCGAGGATAAATGTAGGCGTCTATGATGGTCCACAGCATCCACTTACCATCAGGTGGACTGTGTGCTCCTTTGTTACCCTTATTCTATTTTTAAAAAAATAGTATAGTCGGACTTAATGCTGCAAAGATAAAATGAAAGTAGGCATTATTACTAATCAAAATATCTAGACTGTATAATTAAATAAATTAAATAAATAAATTATATTCTTCAAAAATATAAATTATGTTCTTCAAAATCTGAATCATTTGGTATTATCTCCATTACAATTACCATTGCCATTACGTCTATAGTAAATCTACTGCTAGGCCATGTCTACCTAATAGGGAGACATGGCCATAGTTACCACACTAAGCAGCTGACTGACAACCGCACAGAGAGCAGCATTATCAGTGAGTGAGAATCGACTTGACACTAACTCAGAACTCACCAAATCGCCATATTTGTTTTGTATGATTGTAGTGAACAAAGTTTAATCCCGTGCTTATTCAAGCCTTTGACTGCTGTGTCAGTCACTTTGTATGGAGTAATCACTGACCTCTATATATATAAGTGCGCTGGACTGGCTATACCATAGAAAATGACTGTGCCAATTTGAAGCGCCACTAAAGGATGTCTTGAAAAATAAAATTGACATAATATGCCAAAGTCTGTTGTCATATTTAAATTGTCTTATTTAATAAATCTGTATTTTGAACTTTTAAACTAAAAAATTAAAGTATTTTATGTAGCTTGATTGTGCATAATATTAGTTACATAATAAGAATTATTTTTATTTATAATGATAATGTGCGTAATCTGTAAAACTCGTTACCAAAGGGGAAGTGGTATAACATTTCACAAGTAAGTGAATTTGCAGCAAATATTATGAAACAAATTAAAACTATTTGATAATATAAGTTCTTAAAATTTGATACTAATCTTAATATCATATATACCAACGTCTTTGGCTGTATATTACTGAGTTTTGATAAACAATAAAATTCAATAGGGTTGTCGAGTTCCTTGTCTATAATACTTATCGATGTTCTTTCCTACCCATATCTGTTAACAAACAAAAGTCGCCAACAACAGACTATTATCAAATGTTTATTAATTAACAGGTGCAGTTAAAGGACGCGAAGGGCAGTGTAGCTTGTTTCTGGTGTGCCTTATCTGAGAATCAAAACGGGGGGAGAAGTCAGCAACTAAGGAGGGGCTGCCATTGGGCGGCATTATTTACACTTACGGCAAATTATGTGGACCTCAAATCTTGGATTGCGCTTTACAACATTTGTATTTTGGTTTAAGTTGGTTTACAGGTTTGAATGAATAAACTCTACCACCAACTACCAACTCTGGAGTAACAATAGTCAGTATTGGCTTCTCTACGTTTGTGTTACAAAACGCAAAATGAAGTTATCTTGGTGTAAGACCAAAGAGTAAAATTATTCGAGGGTTAGTTACTCGGGTTTAACATAGTATTTGTTCGAATCCATCCTTAATACACGGTTAAATAACCGTGTAATAATGTTATGGTATTCTTTAATATAATGTTGTCCTTAGTTCTTGGATAATGTCATCCGAAAAGCTCGTATCTCTATAAAAGTTTCCTCAGTTTAAGATCTTTGTAGAATATTTAGAGACGATACCAGGAGACCCGACGGTATGGGTTTGGTTGATTGAGAGAGAGAGAGATAAAGCTTTAGTGTGGGATACTACTTGCGAACACTTTGATAGCATTCCATCTCAGGAGTACCTTGTCTAAAGCAGAGGTGGCATTAGAGGCAACTGAACTAAGTAAATAGCCCAGAATATCTAGAAGATGAGTACATATTTGTGCAATTTGCTGTAGAGACTATTGGTCCGTAGGGTGCACGTGCGGTGTAGTTCCTAAAAAACTGTATCTGCGACTGATCTTCGCTGCTGGTAATCAGAAGTTGTTTAGTTTGTTGTTTCATCGCTTGAAGGCTAAGTATAGCCATTCAGAGAGGACACGTAGCCAGCATTCTTGGAATGATACCACGGGAAGTAGGACTGTATGATAATTTCTGTTATTTTTTTAATATTGTTATTTTAATTTCGAAAATGACGTTGTAAATAACTGATAACTATATAATTCAAAGTTTATATTTTTTATATTATTTTGCTAGCTCGTTCGCGGTGCATTGAAGTAATTGTGTAAATATCGTTAAAATGTGAAACAATTATATTGTATAATTAGGAATGACAATACAATCATTGAAATATAATGATATGTAACTTTCTATAACTTTCAAATAAATAGTCAGTATAATACGCACGCCACCTAATGTCAGTTAATTGTACCATGCGTATAACCATCGCACAAGTGCAACCAAAAAGTTAACTAAGTTTTACCGCAATCTGATGAACGGTATCAACAAACATAAATTTTTATATAGTAGAAAATATTTTACTGTCTATAGACAGACCTTTAGTTGATTAGAATAGGCGTTATTATAGCAGCTGATTTGTTTTTTATAATACTAGAACTAAATGAACGGTTGACAATAAATTATTTTAGAAATTATATTTTTATTTTTATTTTGTGTAGTTAGTTTAATCTTAATAATTTTTTAGTTGAATGGTCTAAGGGCTACGATGGCTATCCGAATACAGAACCGGAATACAAAACTAATCCAACTGTAGAGATGTGTAAGACAGGGTAACGTAACATCCCCGAAATACTTTACCGCTGCCTTGGAAGACGTTTTCAAGCTACTGGACTGGAAAGGATACGGTATGAACGTCAATGGCGTGTACGTCACTCACCTTAGATTTGCCGACAATATAGTCCTTATGGCAAAATCGCTGGAGGACCTACGCACTATGTTCAATGACCTCAATAGTGTCTCCCAACGGATAGGTCTTAAGATGAACATGGACCAAACAAAAGTCATGTGTAATGTCCATGTCACACTTCACTATGCCGGTGGTTTTTGGGAGCACTTAGCTGAAGTTGTTGACGAGTATTTTTACTTAGGACAAATAGTCCGACTAGGTAGGTTCAACTTCGACCGACAGGTCAATCGACGGATTCAACTCGGCTGGGCAGCGTTCGGGAGATTACAACACATCTTCTCGTCAGTCAGTGTCAGTGACTACGTCAGATGTCTATGTCTACTATCTACTCTATGTCTACGTCAGGTCAGATGACCTATGGATCTGAGACGAGGTCTTTCACTGCTGGCCGTATGAGGAAGCTCGAAGTCGCTCAGCGAGCTATGAAAAGGGCTATGCTCAGGGGTTCAAACTTAGGAATGAGGATATCTGCAGCAGAACCAGAGTGACCGACATCACAAAATGGATTAGTAAGCTGAAGTGGAAATTGACCGGCCATATAACTCGAAGAACCGAATACCGATGGGGAAAAAAGGTTCTCGAGTGGCAGTCTCGTACCGGCAGGTGAAATGTAGGACGTTCCCCCCACTAGATGGAGTCAAAACCTGGTAAAACATACAGGAAGTTGATGGATGCAGGTGGCTCAGGACCGTGCTTTGTAGCATTTCTTGGGGGAGGCCTATGTTCAGCAGTGGACTGGTGAAGGGCTTTAATGATGATGAATGATAATGGCATTACATTAATATGATACATAAATAGAATGGGCGTTACGGATAGAGTCCATCTGTACATAGAGTCCATTTTATTTAGGTATAGGTAGGGTATAGAATTTTATCGATATAATTTGCATTTACACTGTCCCATCCCTATTATTAGTTCCGTGGACGTGCACTTCAGCTGTTGCGCCAAAATGGCGGAAACAAATCGCTTCATCATGTCACGGTGTATAGCCAGTCCAGCGTACTTGTATATATAGAGGTCAGTGGGAGTAACGCATTTAAAACATAGCCGACGACAGTTGAAGACTTATACCCAGCAGAATAAGGCTGGAAATTAACTAAGCTACAACTTAATGTAAAAACATAAGATAATTTATAGCCTATACTATACTTTCTACCCCTGAGTTCAAACTTTCTCGCCCCGCTGTTTTAGTATGTGTTGTTAGACTTCACATGAACTCCTTAATACTTTCTTCCTCAGACATACAGGATTGCTCACGATGTTTTCCTTCACCGCCAAGTACATGATAAGTCGGTCATAAAATTACAGTTAACAATTTAATTGGTACTGACGGTGAGCTAACCCGGGTTCTATCAAAAATTACGGTGAGCGCTTGGTTCCTGAGCTACCACCAATTTAACATATTACTATGTAAGTATACCACAAACATGTTATTAAATTAAATTTAAGATAAAAATTACCAATTTCTCCATCACAAGCATTTGCCGTTCTTCCAAATCTACGGCGGGTTCTTCGAACGCGAGCACCGGTTCAGAATCCACGTGGTTTCCATCGACGTTGTCTTCATTGTAAAACGATTCGTCCGTGTAATGTGACTCAAGTTTCACTGAACTACGATCCCCTGGAAGTTTTCATCTTCCTTTATTAATAATGATTGAATGGTTATGGTGATTGATGTTTTTATTATTACTATATAGTGGACATATATAGTGGTCAAATTCAAACGTAATTCATTAAATTTTTAAGTTTGTATATTAAGCAAACAAATTACATTTTCAACTATCAGTATTTAAACGTACTATCTACGCTTTCACTGCATCAATATACAAAACACAGATATTATAAACATAAATATAGAGAATATAAACGCTTTTGTTCTTGACTTACACTCCACACATAGGTACAAATGTATGTGTGGAGTGTAAGCATTAAATTAAATTAAATTTACGGATTTTATCGCGTTTAATTTTAACTTTTTAATTCCGGTCGTTTGAGGTGAACAATATTAGTTTTTAATACCTAAAATTAATATTTAAAAACTGAAGGTATCCAGGCTAACTATGACATCGGGACGGGGAAAACTGAGGTGTTTGAAAACCTCAATACGCCCCTGTGACAATGGGTGCTATAAAGCACCCGAAACGTGGAGAATTAAAAAGTTAAAATAAAATCCGTATCACCTGAAGATGCCTCGTGTAGAGGCGAAACACTTGTCGTATTATCGTCGATGGTGTGTCTTTCCTAGAATAGTGGTGTTGGGAGTAGTGGTGCTGGGATTGGTGGTGACGGTATTAGTGCACGCAATTGAGGGAGGGCGGGAGGTGCTCTTCAAATTAGCGGATGGTTGCAAAGTAACTATTAATATCTTTATTAAAATCCGTAATATTAGTTTAATTTAATGAAAAAGGAACTTTTGAAAATCACACAAAATTAACAGCTCATTAAGTCAACCTGTCAGTAACTATTTTGATATTGATGTGGGGTAAGAGGGACGCATATGTGGGTGCTTCGTAAGGGGGAGTGGATGCTGTGACCCATAGCAAACTACATCGATCCTGGATTAAGAGAAATATTATATATATGAAGACAAATATTGTCGCCTCTGAGGACTAAGGTATTGCATCATAGCCTGTAATTACAATATAATAAATATAATAATTATACAAGCTCTCTTAGCCTTCAAACTTAGACACTGCAGCTTCTTTATAGAATAAGGGTAACAAAGAAGCACACAGTCCACCTGATGCTAAGTGGATCCAGCGCAGAGCGGTTCGAATCGTCTACAATTGAGTTCTTTCTGATCGGCTCGATTCACTGGCGTTGCATCTCTTTGCATTTTCTATCGCATCTACCACGGGGGGTGCTCTGAGGAATTGTTCGGATTAATCCCAGCCGCCAAATTTCATAAACGTACATTGCGTCAAAATTCAAGATACCAACCTCCAGATGAGGTGATTGTGACGCGTTGAATGCTTAGCGGTCCACCACTGTGAGTTTTACTAGGAGTTTCTTCCTCGTACAACTTCTCTGTGGAATTATATGCCACCGGCGATTTTTCCGGACCGATACGACTTAGGGTCCTTCAAAAAAAGAGGTTACTCCTTTTTAAAAGACCGGCAACGCACCTGCAATTGCCTTGGTGTTGCGGCTGTTCACGGCGGTAGTGAGCCGCATGCTCGTTTGCCCCCTCTCCTATAAAGTGGATACTGTGTTTCACGTACATCCACATGTGTTGTTACCTGTGTAGACTAAGATACAACGCCTTATTTTGCCAGTAATAAGGGTTTCCAGTTCTCCACACTCACCATACGAAAAAATTTCATTCTACAACCATAACATAGCTGCAGCTTGGCTCTACCACGTAATAAAAATAAATGCAAAAATAAAGTAAGTTTATTTCCAAGTAAAGGTTGTCTCCGAAAGGTGGTAAATGACAATCACAGGTAGGCTATTAAATATCAAAACAGCGTCAGGGAGAAGCTTCGAGTGTGAATGTGAAATATTAGATATTACTGGATCTTATTCAGAAGCATCCAGTGCAAACGACCTAATATTTGTAAGATTGCCACTCAAACACATATTACAATAGGTGAAGTCACTTTTCCCCATAACTATCCTCAATGAAGATTCAAAAATAAATAAAATCTCTGAATTCTCAACCCGATGGTTTACTTGTGCAGTTATTTGTAATTTAAGTAAAACAATATAATTACATCATAATACTAACTTGGTGTGTCATCTGCTAAGAACAAGTCCCATATTTTCTTGTCTATATTGGAACTTAAACTATTCGGATCGCCACCACCGGCTTGTACTTTTGAGCGTACCGTCGACTTCTTATCAGCCCAATACTGCAATTTTAGGACTTTTAACATAGGTTTTTATTATTTACTACAATACCATGTAGTGGCGGTTTGAGAATAGCATGTCGTAAGAGGCGACAGAGGGAAAGAAACCAAGCAGCGTATTCCTAATAACGAGTAGAAAAAAAAAACTGCAGTTGCCAAGATGCTTGGCAACTAAGGTAAACAAACTTATAAGGCAATTTATGGGGAGGTCTATTTTCAGCAGTAAAACTTGACAGGCTGTGATGGTGATTATTTACTTAAGCGGCTAATAAAAGCCCAGTAAAAGGCGAATAATTATTAAATGGCACATTAATAGAGTGATTGCTGATGATAAAAAGTTTTAGCTCTTTTTTAACATTAATAAAGTAATTGCTGGTATTACAGTCACACTTTTAGCTAGACAAATTGGAAAGCCAGATAATATTTGTCTGCGATAGGTATATACAAATCTCTACAATATGGTTCATGCCTATATCATTCCGAAAAAAATTACCCACTTGTGTAGTTGTGATCTTACACACAAACTAAAACAACAATGATGAAGAAAACAAGTATGTTTAGTGTGTCAATGAGTCTTATTGTTAAAAGTGTTTACTTCCAAATAACTTTTGATCTAATCTGATCAGTTTGCTTATCGTCAAAATTAATACATATATTTAAATCACATTGTACCTACTTTCACCCAAGACTTCATGGGACGAGTGGGCCCCTCGAGATTGTTGACAATCCTCGTGAGTTTGAACCAGAGCTTTTTACTCTCGTCGCGCTTTTCAAGTCCTCTCATCTGACCTAAAGCGAGTGCAGGGTGTTTCTCCATAAAATCGACAATCGCAATCACTTGCTCAAGGCTGGGCCGCGACTGAAAATGACGACATTTAAATCTATTATAGTCATAATAATTATACCTTTAAAATAAGTAAAACTGGTCTTCAAAGACCTAAAAAAGGATACAAAGAAAATTGGTTGAAGCGGTAAAGAGTTATTCGCCCATATGTTGTGCAGATGCCTTTGCAAACTGACGATTTTCTTATGGATCATCAAATGTTAAGCAAATTTTTATGGGACTACTCCTTTGGACGCTTTGTAACAAAAAACTACTCTGACGAATTGAGAACATCCTCGTTTTTTTCGAAGTTTATTGAAAATCAGTCAAATAAATCAAGGGCATTCAAGTGTCATAAAGGGAATTCCTATATTTAAATTTAACAAAGCATAGAATGTAAAATAACCCAGCAATGTGGTGACAGTGTAAAAAATCCATCACTCCATTTTGTGTTATGATTGCCCTAGAAAATTTATGGCCTCTGATAGCTCATGGTGTAACCAGCCCATTTAAACAGGATACCTACCTAGACTGCTGACAGACAGCAGCATCAAATGTGCAAGATTTCTGATACTGTAACTGTCAGTCAGCCTGTCAAGTTTGTCGAGTGTACAAACCCTGCCTACAATAGGAGAGGCCCATCTGCAGCAACGGATCTTTTCTGCCTGGCTGTGGTGAAAAAGAAACCCAGCAAACACACATTTAAGGCAGGTTATAATTATATTGCCAGTAACCTACAATACAACTATTTTCAATATACATATTTTTTATAGGATATGGTTACAATAAAGCACACAGTCCACCTGATGGTAAGTGGTTGCTGTGGCACATAGACATCTACGAGGGTGGCACTGAAAATTTCGGGAATCAAGGAAGTGACACATTACTATTTAAAAATGTATTTATTTAATGATTTCTTTTACAGATTCTATCGCGTTTATTTAGCTGATTTTACTTATTTTTAATTCCCGACGTTTCGGGTGCTTTACAGCAACCATGGTCACGGGGGGGACTGAGATGTTTGACGTCCCAATGTCATTGTTAGCCAGGCTACCTTCAGTTCTTGAATATTAATTTTTGGTCCGATTTACGCAAAACGAACTTACAGTATCTTGAAGTCTTGCAGTGGTATGCTTGGGTTTGGGTTTAATTTTGTTAATTATAGGATCCCAAGCAGATGGCAGCACCCAACCATCTTCTCATATCCTTGGTAGGAATCGGTGTTCTTTTGCGAGGATTTGTGGTTTATCAAATCTGATGTAATGGTGGGGACGATCTTGAACATGTTCACAGACTGCAGACTTCCCGGAGCGTCGGTGCTTCACTTCAGCTATATGTTCTTTCACGTGGGTTCCAAGATCCATAAAAACCCGCCCGTCATAATAAATCATCGCTCTTGAATTTTCTCGAGTCAATTCCATTTTCTCAACGACTAAACTTCTTGTGACAAGACTGAGAATCTTTTTTTTTGAATAAATAAATAGTATTCGATTTTTAAAACCAAGGAGTTTTCAATTAAAAAGATTTTAATATGACAGGAACAGTGGAAATATTTCATTCCCGATACTTTTAGTGCAACCAAGTACATCTATCCTCAAATACAAATCAAAATGGAGATGCGTTTTCAACCGTGAGGACTAAGATGGAATGCCTCATTTCCAGTGAAAAGGATCTCTTTCTACACTCACCATTCGCAACACAGTAGAGTTAAGCTACTTTTTTATGCTGGTATTTTGTGAGAGCGTGGTCCTTCCCGGGTTAAGCCGACCCATTTGTGCTGCAAATATACTAATAATACTGCAGCATGGCTCTCCTACATATAATTCATACTTCATATAATTCATTCATATTTCATTAAATTAAAACTAAGTGTAGTAGAATGCATTAAATGATGCTACATCAATAAGGTAGTCATGCTACAGCAATAAGCTATCTCTGCACCACAAATGGACAGTCTCCATTGCTGAAGGACAAAATTAGTAGCATGATGTATTATAATCCGTATGTTGTGTGGGTGAAGACAAAGCATCTGCATTTTGTTCATAGTTTGTGACAATTATACGAGGGTGGATTGAAAAGTACACGGCCTAACACAGATCCATTCAATTCTAAAAATCAAATCTACCCACATTATTTAGTTCAGTTCAGACTAGTTCATTGTGTGAAGTTCGAAACGTGTGCGATAATTAGTTGTGATTTTATAAATTTATTAACAAAGTAATCGGACATAATTTCCGCGAGTGGAGCAAATCGAGCAGCGTGCCGTCATTAAGTACCTCCATAAGAAGGGGCTATCATCAAAAGCCATCCATGATGACATGGTCAGTACATTAGGCGATTGTGCTCTGTCATATTCATCCGTCAAAAAATGGATAGCAGAATTTAAGCGTGGTAGAGAGAGTGTGAAAGATGAACCCCGCTCTGGAAGGCCTTCGACGTCAACTACTGACGAAAATATTAAAAAAGTACTTGATTTAATAATGGCAGACCGCAGATTAAAAATTAGAGAGATAGCCGAGATTATAGGCATCTCTTATGAACGAACTCAAAACATCATTGTCAACGAGTTGGGTTTCCACAAGGTGTCTGCGAGGTGGGTTCCGCGACTGCTTTCAGTTGAACAAAAAAAGGACACGATTGACTATTTCACGCGACTGTTTGGAGTTATTTGAAGCCGATGCAGATGATTTTTTGAATCGTTTTGTTACTATGGACGAAACATGGGTTCATTACTGTACACCAGAAACAAAACAACAATCAAAACAGTGGAGAAGACCTGGTTCACCACCCCCTAAAAAGGCTAAGTCGATTTTGTCGGCAAATAAGGTGATGGCTTCAGTATTCTGGGACTCGAAAGGTGTGATTATGATTGATTATCTTGAAAGGGGTCAGACTATAAACTCTGATTACTACTGCACCTTACTACGTCATTTACGAGAGGAAATAAAAGAAAAACGTCGAGGAATGCTCAGAAGAAAAGTCCTGTTTCATCAAGATAACGCCCGTGTTCACACGTCAGTACAGTCAATGGCTGAAATTCACAACTGTGGCTTTGAACTGTTACCGCATCCGCTGTATTCACCTGATCTGGCACTATCAGACTTCTTTCTGTTCCCTAACCTAAAAAAGCACTTGGGAGGTCAAAGATTTTCGACAAACGACGAGGTCAAAGCAGCTGTAGACGCATATTTTGACTCTAAGGAAGAATCATTTTTTTTCAACGGTCTAAATGCTTGGAAGGGGAGGTAGCAAAAGTGTATTGAACTTGATGGTGATTATGTAGAAAAATAAAAATATAACTGATTTAGTATGTGTTTATTTTCTTGGTTAGGCCGAGTACTTTTCAATCCACCCTCGTAGGTTTTCAATCATGTCAACAACTTACGATTAGGTGGACTTGAATTTTCAAAAAAAAATTCCGACAGTGCACAAACTGCCAACTTTACTTTTAAAAGCAACATTACCATGAAAATTATCGTGTTTTGGTGGCATACGAGAATCCACTAACTCATACATCCCGTGGGCAAAGCAAGAGGTGACAGAGAGAAATTAAAACAGAAAAGGGGCAGCCTCATCAATTAGATAACAGTTCAAAATAATAAAAAGCTACAGTTGCTGTTCCGCGCGCCAAACGTGGCACGTATGGTAAATACCCTATCTGTGAGAACATGTTTATGTCACAGCCTAAGAAAAACACACAATCAGTCAATGTGATTGATGTTGTCAGAAAAACTGACATAAACAATAAATTACTAAGGTTGTCAAAACAGAAAGTAATAAAATAATAAAAAAACTGATTTTAATTTTCACAAAAAGCATCCTAAACTTCAGAGATAAATACCTGTGTATGTAGAAACTGATGAAACTTCAATTCCCTATCTTTAAATGAGGACTACCCACAGTTTTTTATTGCCCAACCAGATCACCTTTACGGAATATTAAAATCATTCCTCCAGCAACGCCATTTCATAGTACAATAAGTGGAAGCTCTGTCAGATCTCTGTCCTATAAAAGCAGGAGTCCCGCAGGGCAGCGTACTGGGTCCCATACTCTATTTACTTTTCAGTGCGGACCTACCGACATCTGAATCCTTAATCACTGGAACCTTTGCTGATGACACCGCTATACTGGCTACTCATAGCGACCCAAAAATAGTCTCACAAATACTTTCTTTTTACTGTCTCAAAAATACTAGGGCTAAATGATATATCCCACTGGCTGAAAAAGTGGTGGATAAAAGCCAATGAAACAAAATCAGTCAACGTAACGTTCACCCTAAGAAAGGGCTCCTGCCACCCAGTCACACTTAACAACATTGTAGTTCCACAGGCAGATCATGTGAGATACCTTGGATTGTACTTGGACAAAAGACTTACCCGGCAAAAACATATTTTCACTAAGAGAAAGCAACTCGGTATTCAAACACGGAAACTCTACTGGCTCATAGGGTAAAAGTCTCAATTGTCTCTAGAAAATAAAATACTTCTGTACAAGGCAATAATGAAACCTATCTGGACGTATGGAATCCAACTGTGGGGTACTGCATCCCATTCAAACATCGAAATCTTACAAAGGTTTCAAAATAAAGCACTCCGCATGATAACCAATGCCCCCTGGTTTGTGCAAATCGAATTACTACATCATGTTCTACGTCTGCCTACTGTGAAACAGGAAATCCTATGCCATACTAGAATTTATAAAGAGCACATCGAGTGTCATCCAAATATTCTGATCCGGCCACAAACAACACACATGACAAACCACAACAAAGCGCGACGCTTAAAGCGCAAGATACCCCAAGATTTAATACAAACACAAAGACAGTAAATGCAGTTACTGATTAATAATAAGGATGTGACACAGGTCACATACCGAGCATGCCAGCGATAGCACCAACAAACATACTGCTAAATGTCCCTCAAAGGCGACAGATTGTAGTAAATAAAGTACACAAAAAAAATTTTTATTTATTTGTGTGACCAGACAACCCTAGCAGACAGTCCCCGAACGACTAATGAACTAACATCTCGCCCCACACTGCACCAAATGATTGCCTTGTCTAGACGCCTTCAATGACCAAATGTTAGTATTAGTTAGACTGTGCCTATGTTCATCAGTGGACTGTTGATAGGCTATAATAAATGAATGAATGAAAAGTGACAGTAAACTACTGGATGTTAGCACTTCCAAATGACTACTGTACAAAAAAAAACTTACATACATAAAGTTTCAGGTCTCAGAAACTTAGTTTTTAATAAAATTAAGATAAAAAATTTCTTTAACACGTTGACTGCCAGCCCGGTCACCGGTGACCGGACCCCGTCTTGTATCTACGCGCCGTGTTGGTCACCGGTGACCTCGAGACAGACCTGTTTTCGGGCACAATTATTACGCCGGTGGCCACGTTTATCGTACATTTAGTATATGCAAGTAACCGGAGCGGCGCTCTAGATTGTTACTTCAGCGTGGTTTCTGCGTGTCTATTAAATTGTGAGAATTGTGGGACAAAAATGAAGAAAGTAAGTGAAAAAACGTAACTGTCACAAAAATCAAGGATTTATTTTTATCAATGTGTGAAATATAAGTAAAAAACAAGTAACAAATTATTCTAAAATACAAATTAAACGAAGCGATGGAACTTATTGAAACACATTAAACAAAAATATGGTTCATTTGGACATTCTTTACAAAATGTTGCTACTTTCTTTGTTTTATTTTTGACTGATTTTGAACCGTACATTGCCACACAATTTTTGTAACATTCTGAACAAAATCGTCGAGTGTTTCTCACTTTACCCTCTTTTTTTCAATAATTGATGTTTCAGTCTTTTTGGTCTATCTATTCTTTCGGGTTCTATGGTCCCCTCCATTCCTGCATCAACTAAATACTCCACTAACTCTCTTCTAAACTGTACTATACTTTCACTTTTATTTTTATTTTCGTTGTACATAACCCATGCATTAACAATCGCTGTATTCAATATAAGTTCTATTCCTAATTTTTTATACCACTTCACCGATTTACGTAATGGTGAGGAATATGCGGCCATTTGATCGCTCATATCAACTGCGCTTTTTACTTTGTTGTAGGCTAAAACCATTCTTGGTTTGCGAATTACTTTACCCTTTTTAGTTATTTTAGAAAATCCTTTAGAATGTTTCGTGGATAACATCAGCACATCTCTTTTGTCCTTCCACTTCAATACGCATATTCCTCGTTCATTCTCCATAGCTATTACTTCGCCTGGTTTTAATTTGGAGTCTACTACCGCTTTCGGCAAACCTCTTCTATTTTTCCTCAAAGTACTCACCAAATGAGTGTCCTTATCGAGTAGTTCATTGGCCAGCTCCAAGCTTGTATACCAATTGTCAGTAACAAGTGTGTGACCACAGCCCAGTATGTGCTTACAAAGAGACATTACCACTCTTGTAGGTGTGGTATTCACTAGTTCATTATTTTTGCCAGCGTACAGTTCCAATTTGCATGTATATCCTGGTAATGTACAAAGTTTAAATAACTTCATACCATATTTGTGCATCTTGCTTTTGTTATATTGTCTAAAAATGATGCGACCTCTGAAAGGCACTTGGCTTTCATCAATACAAATATCTTCCTTAGGTGCATATATATTTTTAAAAGTTTTGTTTAAACTATCTAAAAGGGGTCATATTTTGTAAATTCTGTCAGACACATCACCCGTATCATTATTCGTAAAGTGCAGTTTCTGCAATAGTAATTCAAATCTGTTACGGCTCATAACAGATGCTGCAAAGATTTGCCCAAAAACCCTGTCAGTACTCCAATAAAGGTTTATTTTAGGTATTTTAACAAGTCCCATATATAAGATTAATCCGAAGAACCGTTTTATCTCAACTTTTGTGGTTGCTTTCCAGTTATTTGAGCGAGACGAAGGCTTTTCACTAGGTCCTTGTTGCTCTGCAAACAAATTGGTTTGAATAGCAATTTCTTCGAAAATTTCATCCGGAACCATCAGGCTAAAATATTCTCCTTGAGCAGCATTTCGAAGTTGCGTAGTATGTGGTTCTCTCATACCTGAAATTAAACAAATATATACCTTATCATAATACATTTTAATATACAAATGTCAACATAGAAACATTACCGACCGATCGAATAAACCGACCGATATATAATGTACAAATATCAACACAGAAACATTACCGACCTAGGAATCGAACCCGGTAGTGCTCGCGGCAATTTATGCCACATCGGTTTTATTTATATATAGATATCTATCGTCTATCTATCTATTACTATAATAAAATCGTAAAAAGCAACACTTTGTTACCTAAAATCTTGACAATGGTTGAACGAATCTTGATGAAATTTGATATCTTATAGTCTGAAATAGAACAAACCAAAAACAAAACAAACAAATAAAATAATATAATATACCTGTTAGTTCTGTAAACGCTATAACAGATGGTTGATGTACTTTTGGTTGAAGCCATTTTTGTGACGTACTCGCCGTTAATCTATCAATGTTTTTATTTACAAATTTTTCCACGTCATCACTTTCACTCTCAGATGCACTAGGAATAAACGTTTGCGTTTTTTTGAAGGATAGATATTATAATCTTCAATCTCTGATTCTTTATTTTCACTCAAATAATTTTTTCTAGCAATTTCATCAAAAATACTAGCTTCCAGTAACTCAATGTCGCGCAAATCATCTAATGAAATATCTATAAAATTCTCGTCTAAATCATTACTATTCTCCATGTTGAATCACAAAATCTAACAAATTAAAAAAGCACGAGTGTCCGTCACGGGCACACCGTCCAAGCGCAAACAGATGACTGCGGGGTGTGGGTGACCGGAGAAGTGCTCGGCCCGGCGCCCGGTAACGGAAATTCACATTTTTATTATCAAGGCGCCACGTAGGTCACCGGTGGCCTCATGTAGTTTTTTCGAAATAATTATTAAACGCGGCTTCTGATTGAACCCTAAATTAGATACATTGTAACCCTTTACCGCATGAATTTTTTAAATCCTTTGGAAAAAATATATGTCACTATAGGGTATATATAGCACCCCAAAAAAATATTTAAATAAATATAGAACACCATTAAAAAAAGATAAATAGGTAAAAGTAATTGTTCCAAATATGGAACACCGTATGCGTTCTAGTTCTATAACATAGACGTTCCATATTTGGTACAACATGCGGTGTGGTCTAATTATGTATAATTGAAATAGAATTTTATAAAAATAAAAGAAACAAAGTGAAGCTATGAATAAGTATTTAATTTAAAAAAATTATGTGTGAAAGTTTTTAAAACAGTTGCGATCTTTGTTAAAACAAAGATAACACCCACACTTTTCACACATCACTTGGGATTTCTGCGTGCATCCTACCATTTTACACCTTTGGCGATCAGTTTTCCAATTCGGCCAGTGGTTGAACCCGTCTCCAGCTACTTCCATTGGAGGCAGTTCTATGCGTCGCCTTGATTGCCCCTTTTTAATTGCCTCAACATCTTGATTCAGTGGTCGTCCTCGTTTGCGTGTAGTCGGAGTATATACCTTTGAGTCTTTGTGCATCAATACATCTGCTATGGTTAATTTAAAGTCAAGCAATGGAATGTAAATATCTTCACCCTTTTGTTTCATGACTCTCCGCCATAATAGCCAACTATTCACGCAACAGAGATCAATGAAATGGAAGAACAGGCGGTGGTACCATTTTTTACTGCGGATTTTGATCCTATAGAAGCCTAACATGGCATCTAGTAAATCGACACCGCCCATGTATTTATTATAAATTAATACTGCTTTTGGGCAAGAAACATCAACTCTACGCTTATGTTTTTTGGAATATCTTTTCACAACTCCCATTGGTTCCTTGCCTACATAGGATGAACACAAACTGACTGCTTTATTGTCGACCCAACTGGTAACTGATAGCTTAACGTTATCAACAGCAACACTTTTTCGGAGCAATAACCTCGTTCTTTCTTTTCTAAAGCTTTTTTATTTATATTTATATTTGGAGCTCTTCTCAGTTGTACTGTGCCTAATGGCAGAATACCTTTTTTGTGCAAGTTTGCCATTAGCTGCAAACTTGTGTACCAGTTATCGACAAAAATCTTATGGTTCAAATTGTCCGAGACAGTCTTCAATAGTCTTTGAACCACATTTCCTGGCACTCCAAGATCGGGACAGTTTTCAGGCGGTCCTGGGTATTTTCCTCCGAATAATTCAAAGTCGTAACTAAATCCACTGACTCCGCTTAATACGTAATTCAAATAACCCCACTTATGGGGTTTCTTTGCATTGTACTGTCTGATTCCTGAAGTTCGGGCCTTAGTAGTAGGGATCATCTGTTCGTCAATGGACAAAAATTCCTCTTTCGGCACTTTTAGCAGTCTTTCGCGTAGGATTTTCATAAGTGGGCGTATTTTCTGAAGTCTATCAAACTGCGGGTCATATGGTTTTAGTTCTTTTGTTTTGTCGAAAAAAATGCCGAAATCTTTTAATCTCTTCGAATTTATTGCACGTCATAACATTTGCAACTTTTTCAACATATGTGCCCTCCTTCCAGTAATGACGAGTAGTTGGCAGGTGTACTACCGACATGTAGATAATAATACCAATAAATTTATAAATGTCTTTATGTGTCACTGAATTCAAGTTTTCGGGGAAAATTTGTGCTGCGTATACGTTGCTTTCTTCCTCAATTAAATTTACAGCAGATGACGGAAAAAGAAATTTGAAAAACTCCATTGGAGTATTTAGCTGCATTATTTCATCTGGAAGATTTTCAGATCCCAAAAAAGCAATATTGGATTCATCATACTGAAGATTGTCATCCGACCACACCAACTTATCTTTCTTTTCTTTCTTACTTGAAGAAGCTGCCTGTGAAGTAGAAGGTTGATTGTCTGTAAAATTTTCTAACGTTTCCATATGCTCTTCAGTGCACTCAGGAAATAGCTGGTCCAGTTCCTCTTTTCCTTCTTCATCTTCTTCTTCATCTTCTCCGTCCGAGGAAGACTTTTCTTTTTCTTCATTTATATGTAAAGGATCTTGAGTACTGTAAGTCTCATCATCTGATACATTTTCATCCTCGCTGCTCTCTGGAATTACGACGATTGTTCGTCGAGGACGCATCTCTATTTTATCTACAATTAAAGTAATTAAGCAAATTTAAAGATAATCACGTATAAACATAACTATATATAATACATATTCAGGGCGGGACATCTAAAACTGCGCTACTTTTACTTGTGCTACTTAAAAATTACATTAGCTGCAGGGTATAGTATTAAACTGCAAGTATAAAAAGATCTTATGCAGCATAATGTTCCGAATTCTGAACTTGTAAGTTATTGACGGTTTCATATTCAATACAAAAATTTGTTAAAAAATTGACCTAAAACTATAGATATATAATATATATCTTGGTCTAACACTGCATAATGTTCCAAATTTGGAACTGTTAAAATATTGACTGGAGTGCATAATGTTCCATATTTGGCACTACAAAAAACGTAACAATTGCATGGTGTTCCAAATTGGGAACAATTTTAAAATGATAATATTCAATACATATTATGACTTAAACTTACTTCTTTTGCCGTAAAAAGCCTGTGGGTCCATTGTTCTATCCGGTAAATCACAATTAATCCTCAGATATTAAGAAAAAAACAATAAAAAATCGTATTGAAAATCTGCTGACTGTCGACCTGTCAAATTTTGGCAACCGACTGACGAAACAGTCGATTTTAGTTCCTAGGCGTCTCTAAAGAGGCGCCACTGTTACATATTTAGGTGAGTTACACTCTCTAGTACGAATTAGTTCCGAGAAAATATTATAGACGCCGCAGGCAGTAATATATTACAACAAAAGTTGAGTGTTCCATATTTGTCACGGTATGCGGTACAGGGTTAAAGTATTGATATTGCCCAACTATTTTCATCAAAAAGTTTTTTAGTGATTTTTCTCATTTACACTACGGCAGTCAATGTGTTAAAAATGTTGATTGAATGACAAAGCGTAGGTACACACTTTACATTTTGTTTATACAAGTTGTGTAGGAGTTGTATAAACTTTTAATAATTATATTTTGCAATTAAAATTAAAAATACAAATAAAATACTAATATTGCATTGTTTATTAAATTTTTAGGATTACATATAGTTAAAAATTATTTTGAATGAAGAAAATAGTCCAAAAGTACTTATATTGACTAAAGAAGTTTAAGCAAAAGTAGTCATGACTGAAAAAATAATTAATTATGACCAAGACTAATAGGTAGTTAAGATCACTTATGCCGGTATATTTAGCAATAATAAAAGTATTATACTATATAATATAAAATGTTTATGGCCAATAAATTTAAAAACAAAGTAGTTTTTTCTTGACTGAACTCATCTTTCGTAAGCTAGCATAACTAAATCAGAGACATGTACTTGTTCCTGTTGGGTAATGCCAGTGACTGTAGGTTGAGGTGGCATCCCAAAGTCGCGAACATCTGGTTTATCCTGCCAGGTTTAAGAAAAACTAATTTGCCATCCGGTTTAGCCAGTAACAAATTATTCAAACACATTTTTAGAAGGAACTTTAAAAAAATATATGCATTTTTGAAGGAGGGTTACAGCAAGGGGGTGCTCTTTTCCCTCTCACCTTTCTATTTATAAAAAAAAGGTAATAAAATATTTACTTCAAATTGCCACTCAATTATTAAATTTAAATTTTAAAGGTACTTACTAGCAAAGTACTAAATAAAAGAGTATCTAATCGTTATGTACAGCTTTTATTTTATTCTTGTTCGGTTTAGTGTCTAAGCTTAAATATTAGAAGTTGGTAGATCTAGAAGAAGATTCGAATAGTACATTCTCTTTGGGAACAGAGAACAAAACAACTCAAACGGAATTCTTCGAGATGAGAAGTGATAGTTACACTCGAATGTTAAATTTTATTAGCTTTATATGTATAAAGCGTCACTCACCGCTATAGTACGGTCCGTCATTTTGTAAATGCACACCGATTCGAAGTAATACAGGACAAACAGTTAGTTTTCAACTACATAATTTTGAAATAAAATTATTAAGTATATAATTTCATTTCGAAGCAAATTCACTTAGCTTTTAAACAGAACACCGCTCGATATCAATAAATTATAATGACAACCATTGGTTGGGGCTTGGGGCCAAAGCCCATAGATAAATAAATATGTAGCAAGCTAGATAAATAAATATGTGCCAAAGCCAAAATTCATAGACAAGAAATGTCATGTCATAAATTATAATAGGTAATATAAAAATTGGCACGAGATGTACCTAACAGTACGTTTGCACTGAGAAACACCCAACAAATAATGTATTGTACCAAATTGATAAAATAAATCACACAACATGTTTTGTTGAGTTGAGAGTTTTTGTGAGTACAAACGCCACCAGCGTTCGCACTCACAAAAACTGTGTAAAATTTTCAACAGATATTCAAACTTGTCTTTCATCATGACAATATTTCTTCAAATTTAATTTCCAACATTTCGTTTCTGTAGTTATAGAGATATAATATGTAATGTACAATAAAATGTCAAACTTTTTTCACTACAACATGTTCTTTGATACATTAACAGAAACCAGTGTAACAAGTTTTTTGTGAAAATCCGTAGACAGAGTATATAAAACATATGGACCTGGCATACCTACACTTTACTGAGAGGATAAAATGGCGGTTAATAGGGCAGCCCATATCGATATTTCTATAATAATAACATCGAGAAAAGATTGTGAGAATGTTTTCACTTTTCATATAGCCACGGAGCTACGGACACACGGCACACTACCTGTAGGTAAAAATACCCCAAGTTTTCTAACTTATTTATGCCTTTCATCTAAGTTATTTTTAGGTTCGTCTATTTTCACGTCTAAACCATAGATAAATAAATATGTAGCTAGCTAGTCTAAACCGTAGAACATATTTTATGTTAATGGCCTATAGATGGTATTTTTTTTAATGAAATATAATTATTTTAACAATAGTTTAGTTTTGTCGTATATCACATTATGATCAACATACAATCTAATACAGAGCTGCAATTTACAAAAAGACGTATGAAAATTAAAATGTGTGTGTGTGTGTGTGTGTGTGTGTGTGTGTGAATTTGGGCTACATTGGCAGAACTAGCATCTGCTATTATAAAGTAATGAAATTCGTTGGTATGCAAGGGGTAATCTATAGAGCTACCAGTCAGATTTGAAAAATATATTTTTGATTTGATAGCCCAGTTCTTGAGAAATGCTATAGCCTAGCCTATGCACACCACGCTACGACTCTTAGAAGCGAATCAAAAAGAAAAAAACGTCAGAAACAATGATAAGCGAAAACGAAGTGATAGCGCGGGCAGATAATGCAATGCGGCAAGGTATGAATCGGGGGAACAATAAATTTCTCGCTAAGTCACAAGCAGAATCTAGTAATTACTATTTTTGACGTTAAGTTTCCTACACCTACCATTTGTAACATGCAGATGATTGTGGGTTTCAATTAAGTCAACAATAATTTTATTAAAGTAAGTAAGTATGAAAACTAAAAACGTATACTATACACTAACAAATCAAATTCAAAGAAACTTACTTAAATATCACAACAACAAATGAAAAAGAAATTAAATTAACTACACTCAAAATATTCTAACGAAATAGCGAAAAGAAAAAAAAACAAATCGTACAGCAATCACAAATATACATAGTAGTAAGTAGATAATCTGAGAGATTTCCAAGAGAATTTTGGAGGAAAATCAAGGTGTTGTGGGGTATTCTGAATTTAATAAATTTCTTTGGTTTCATCATCATCATCATTACAGCCCTTCACAAGTCCACTACTGAACATAGGCCTCCCCCAAGGTATGCCACAAAGCACGGTCCTGAGCCACCTGCATCCATCGACTTCCTGCATGTCTTACCAGGTCGTCACTCCATCTAGTGGGGGGTCGCCCTACACTACGCCTACCGGTACGAGGCTGCCACTCGAGAACCTTTCTTCCCCATCGGTTATCGGTTCTTCGAGCTATATGGCCGGCCCATTGCCACTTCAGCTTACTAATCCGTTGGGCTATGTCGGTCACTCTGGTTTTACTGCGAATATCCTCATTTCTGAGTCTATCACGCAGAGAAACTCCGAGCATAGCCCTCTCCATAGCTCGCTGAGCGACCTTAAGCGTCCTCATACGGCCAGAAGTGAAGGACCACGTCTCAGATCCGTAAGTCATCACTGGCAACACGCACTGGTTGTACAATCTAGTTTTTAGAGATTGAGGTATACCTGACGAAAAGATATGCCGTAATTTCCCGAACGCTGCCCAGCCGA